GGTATAAATAATGATCCACTGATTATTCCTTGCTAACCGGACTTTTCCTTTAATCAAAAAGTTTTGAAAACAACTTTGCCGATTTCTTATATCACATTGTTTTTATATATTTTTATTTGCCTTTATTTTATTTTGACAAACTCTTTCTTTACATTTTTATACAGATTCTAGTTTAGTTTGGCATTCTTTTCACTTCCAGCCAATATAAAGGCTCCCTTTTGACCAATAAAATGTTGTTGCTAACGGCGATGCAGACCAAGGGAAGTGCATCATTGCTTCTCATTCTACAGGAAAGCTGAAGGTTATCTGCATTTGCAAATTAAAAGAAAATATCATTTGTAAAATGTGAGAAAACAAAAAGTTACTATTATAGCCTTTTCTGTTGAGTAATCTGTTTTTTCAATTTCCATTTACAAAACTTGTTCTTTGCTTGAAACAATAATGGGACAAAGTTCACTCCATAGCTTCAGTCTGTATCTGGTGGATTATATTCTGGTAATCAGAGACATCAGTGTGGACGGTAGGAGCAGAGCCCTTACGTTCTTGTGGTTGACACATTTCATCAGCACCAGTTCTCTGTAGGCGCGTTTGGCATGGGTCTGATTCTGAAAGGGCCGGCTCAGCTTCTTGATGGCCACGTTCTTCTCCAAGTTATGGTCGTACGCCGAGCTGATGGGAAAAACACGACAAAGGAAGGAAAGCGCAGTTAAAACATTGTTTTAACGTCTGAGGAACTCATCTTTTAGTTTACCTGCTGGTTCACATTTTCTTTATATGGTTGACCAATACATGGTCTCCATACCAGTGCATAGAAAATTATAACTGCTGCCAATATTAGCCAAGTAGGTAAAATAGGGAAGAAACTATTAATTGCTTTATTGTGATTAGGACTGAAACAATTAATTATTTATTTATTTGTTTATTTATTGATTGATTACTGACTGGCTGGTGGATAGTGTCTGTCGTGCGTTTCTTTGGCTGAGAGAGACTTAGAGTTATTGTATTTCTATTTTAATTGTAAAAAAAAATTATTATTTTTTTTTTTTTATGATAAAAAAACGTTTCGTCCATCAATCTGCTCTATCCAGAATTCCTCAAGTCGAAAGGTTTTAGTTTCACCTTGTTTAATTTCGTAAAAATAAAAAACTCTTCTTTAAGGAACCTTTGGATATCTGATTATTAAACAAATTAATAATCTGCAGATTAATCAATTTGTAAAATCCTTTTTTTTTCGGGGTGGAAGGAAGGAAGGCTGTGCTATGCATCATAAGTATACAAAAAGGAAAAATTCTCAGGAAAAATCCATCCAGTTTCAGAGAATTCAAGACCAGATGCAAAAAAACATTGAAAACAAAACGAACTCTGATCCACACAAATGGAGAAGCTAAAGTTTTATATAAAAAAAAAACAAAAAAAAAGAATATCAGAGTCAGGCTAGCAGAGCTACTCCAACATGCAGCCACCTTAAGCATCACAAAAAAAGTGACTTTTCATCGACATCAAACGCCCCAAACTTACCAGACGATTCCTTGCGCTCCAGATCCAATGGGTCTGAGGTTCTGGTAGCGCTTCAAGACCGTAAAAGTTGAATCCCCCACATCTATGCTGTAATACTCCTTTTCACGCTTGTTCCGGTTCATGATGACACCTTGGTCAAACGCTGCGCCTTGGCATGCAAGAAGAGCAGGCCTCTTGAGATCTGCAGCGGGGGGAGGCATACAGTTAAGGTTATTAAAAAGAAAACTTTTACAGGTAACATTATCTGCTGTTTGAGGAATTACCCGCCCCCTTATTTAGAGTACTCCAATGATTATTTAACATACAACTGCAAGAATCTTTGATCATCACTTTCTAGTGGTTAAAAATAAAAAGTTATGACTTTTCTCTCCATCAACCAGTCACTAAAGTAGAGCACCGACCGGCTGATTCACCAGGTAACATCGGTTTGTTAGACTCTTTTCTCCATAAAGGTGAGGTTGCCAAACCCAAGGCCTATTAATTGTGTTTTCAATATAATCCTGATTTAAAAACTTCCAACTGTCAGAGGCTCTTAATAATTTGTTACGTTACATTTTAATGAGAGGAAGACATAATTTCTCCCTCCACGCCTTCAGGTGGCGGTAATGGGTTTTAAGTGGGTTTGTCGTCACAATGAAGTGAATAAAGAGAGGCAGATCTATGCACGTAGGCTAGAAGTATGCACTTTTTCACTCCAAGTCGGTTCTTTTACAACATTTGGTGAAATAAAAAGACAAAAAGCACAACTATACATTTCAACATTCCGCCCAGTAGCAAGTCAAAAAATATATTTTGCACTGCTTGTTTAGTATCTAAGCGTTAGTCTTGATATAAAAACCAAAAAGGCATCCAGTAGATGCTAACATGTCATAGCTATTATAATCAATGGTCGTTTCTCAATCTGTGTCCTTGTGCGTTCTTGTGTCCTCGTGAAATTTCATCAGCCTCAGCCCTAGTACTTTTCCAATTCACAAGAACAAGAAGACAGAGAACGGACAAAGTCCCCAGACGTTGTTCTGGCCCCTCCCTGTTTACCCAGCATGCATCAGAGCAGACTTGTCCGTTCTCCGGACTGACATCTGTCCCAGCATGCACTGCGGCAGCAGCAGCTTCCAGGTAAGTTTTAAGATCATTTGAGGCGAGAACATAGCATAGCCGTGAGTGAAGTCCAGCTGGCTCTGATGGCGAGTTTTTAGTTTTTATTTGGCATAATATTCATTTGATTTAAAGAACATGCTTGGTGAGACTCTGTACTCACGTTTCTGTGAACTGAGAAACGGCCTATATGTTCCATATTTCATTAGTTGGTATAACTTATGCTTTATTTTTCAATATAAGCAGTCAGAACGTGTGATTTTTCGTATTCACACCATGGAACAAGGTTATCTTTTTCTCAAGCTAACCTTGCCATGGATTTTTATCCCACCAAATGTCCAGAATAAAGAGCAAGTTTCAAACCTTCAGTTTGATTTAAGAATTATCTGCCTTCAGTGACACGAGCATAATGGGCATTTTGAACAATTATGGGAAGAACTTTTATTATTTCAGTCCATTTTGGGTCGCTTTGCTCTTCCCTGCTGCTCTCCACTATCACGTAATTAATATTTATATAAAGCATGCACGGCCGTACAGATCACTATCATTTCTATATTCCTCAGAATGTAAGAGAACCATGTGACAATAAAGAAAACTGAGCATCTCCAAACGTTACCTAAACATCTCCTCTGGTCCCCTCCTCTTGTCGTAAATTTTTTTTTACTACACTCATCTGAAAATGGAACCAGAAATTAATTTCAACTGACCAACCACGTCTTGCTGTTCAAAACAAATATGAAACTTTACCCATTGGGGTAAAAGGTACATTAATTAACAACTTTACTATTGTTAAAATCAAACACGCATTAACATTAGGGTGATTTATACAGGCTTGAACTAAAATATAAATCAACTTATCAGGTAATCCAGAGCTATTTCTACAGTTATGCTGCTATAGGCATAGGCTGCTGGAGGACATAGGGGCCACTTTCCCTCACTCTGCTTCATTCTACAATTCTCTAGCTTTCCTTAGAGCAGCAGACCACTATAGCAGCTTCACAGGCAGTAAGAAGCTGACAGTGTTGATTTTTTAAAATGAAGTATATTTTCCAGGAGTAAACTGAACATGAAATATGTAAACACACCCAGTGCTCCTACAACTCCATTCCCACTTTATTAGATTTATTAATCAATTATTGGGAACACTGTTATAATGTGTTATAATTCCATTTACTACTTGTGTGATGTTTTGGGTTTTGTTGACTCTGAAGCAAAAGAAACACGGAAAACCACAAAGTATACAAAAACCTGTTCTACAAGCAGAGTCCCGGCTCCTGCTGTGTGAAAGGTATGTGGTTCCAGGTTCTGGGTCAGTATCTAAGAAACCCAAACATCATTAAAAACAGGTTATTGTAAGACAGTAAACAGAACAGAAGATCCTTTTAATTGCAAAGTAAACCTACTAAATCTAAGAACTTTAAAGCTCAATTAACTTTTCTTTGCCTCTTCATTTTGTTTATGCAGTTATTTGAGAAGCCTCACTAATCTGTTATCAATTAAAAAAAGTGCCCCAAGTTTTTATTAATATATTATATTTGCTTCTCAGCCTTATTCTTAAAAACATTCTTGCACAGAGCTGGACTGAACCCACTGTGAGCTGAGAAGGGATCATGTTTTCCAAATGCATTCATATAAAAAGCCAATATGAGGAGGAAGACACAGACAGAGAACAAGCATAGCTTTAGCTTTTGTTTCAAAAGAAAGCAAAACCTCCTGCTTACTGTTTTCAGCTGACTAATTGCTGAGCTAATGCTAAATAGCATCCACTGTTTTGATACGACCTGTTGACAATTGTCCTTACAGACTTATTGATACGATTCAGCAGACAGCTTCTATCAACAGGCCTATATTGGAGTTTTAGATACAAGCTGCTATATTCTGACACTAGCTAGCTTTTTTGGCTAATATCTAAACAATTTTCTGACGTCAAAACTGGACTGGAACATCCCTACGTCGGTTATAAACATTTCACTGGAAATTCAGGTAACCGCGTTAGGAAAAAGATAACATGTTTTTTTCAAATTTAGTTTACAACAAAATGAATTTCAGCTGCTTTTTCTTAGGTGTCCGTGAAACAGAAAGCTATCAAGTGAGAGCGTGCAAAACTGGTCACATGACACGGACAGACAGGAAGCAGCATCAGACGATAAAGGAACAATGAACCATATCTTTTAATTTTTAATGGAAGATTTCTTGTTGCGTTTTACTGCTGGTGTAAAGGTGTTTTTTTCCCCCCAGGATGAAAATCAGTGTCAGCAGATCAGACCTTTGAGAAAACGAATAAATCGATACTGAAAGTCTGAACCATGAAGTCCTGTAATCTGTTGCAGTATCAGTTAAACCAGAAATTTGAGGGGAAACAAACAAAGCTTCATGCTTCCAGTTTTAGTTTTAAAAGAGAAATAATTCAGCCAAAGAACATGTCAAACAAGCAGAGTTTTAAGGGTTTAATCTTTTGAGGCCTCAGCTAGATCCCATCTCTTCTTTGGAAATTTAACTACTCCTTGCAGAGAATTGTTGGAAAAATAATCAATCCTACATGTGCAAATGCAAGCCTCATCCTATTGGCTCAATTAAAGTGTTCACTCACCGGCAAAAAGTACTAAATTCAAAGGACAGAAAATCAACCCGGCCAAGCATGCAATCCAAAAGAGATCCGCATCAATTATAGAGATTACTGCGCCTCTGAAACCATGGTATGATATAACCCTGAAGAGCTGCACATGCAGTCTACATGAAACCTAAACGCTGCAGCAGGGATCCGGGCAGCGGCAGAGAGGAAGCAGGAAGCAGGGATGACAAATCATTAGCAGGATTTGGAGCGTTGAACTGAAAACGTATAGGCATGCAGTGGAGTCTAACCCCACCCCTTCCCTTTTAACATCAGTTAGCCTACAGAAGGCTTTTCCTTTTCTCCCAGCCCTCTATTCATAGGTGCCCACTTCTTTAGTTGTTTTTCCTCTTTCTTGTGGAGCATGGACCCGTTCATCTGAACCCCTGCCAACCCTGGGAGCAGCTCAGACAGGAAGTGAGCAGGAAAAAAGCTCCAAAACCATTAAAATTAGACAACTTTTACTCATTTAATTCAACTAAACAATATTTTCATTATCCTAAAGGGAAATTAAGGTTAATGCTGCTGTAGCTACGTTTGTTGTAGATAGCTTTAACGTTGAAGAAGTCTTTGAAGACTGTTGTTCCACATCGAAAATTAATTTTCTCAGTCCTAACTAGTCCAACACAAAGATTACTGCAAATGATGGCAGCATAAGCAGCCAAGAGGTCCATAGTAGCTCTGTAGGAGATGCAGAGAGCCACAGCTCAGGTGGAAAAAAAAAATCCATTTGGCCTTGATTGGAGAGAGGGAAAAAGATGAGCTTTAACCCTTTATATGCCACTCAGTGAAATACTTTTATAATCAGCATTTCAAGCCAATAGTGTTCTTAGAATCCTGGACAAGACTTTATTACCTTTGTAACATTAAAAAATATGGATATTTTGATGGCAAAAATGATTATCAATGTAATAACAAGAAACGCCAACTTGCCCGAATATGTTAATAAAAAAAGTGATTCTATAAGAAATAAATGAAAAACACTACACAACATAACCTTAGATTAGAGGTCACAGATTAGCGGACCAGGGTCCGGATCCTGACCCAAACTGATTAAAAACATTTATAAATTACTGCATGTTGTCTGACAACAGTGTCTAACTTCACTTGCGTCGCTTCTCCTGTTAATACGGTAAAGCCCTCCGGAGAGTCCGGAACCAGGCTGAATATAATTCAAATTAGCCAATAAGCTGTCAGTCTGGGTTGCTGCTGCTGCTACTTTAAAAAAAAAAAGAAAAAAAAAAAAGATTTTATTATTATTATTATTTATTTTTATTTATTTTTTTAGCATTGTCCTGTCTGGTGATGTGGGAATAAGAATAATTGTCTTGATGCTAATAAGAGCCTAACAGATTTTGCTTTCACAAGTGGAGCAGTACGGCTATCACCATAGTGTTCCGCTTGATTTATGCATATAAACAGCTTTATTATAATTATGCAGAGATTATTACAGATTATATGGACGTTACAATTAG